GTCGCGTCTCTCTGACGAGAGCGAGCACTCCGAGGGTGTTGATCGCCGGTGAAGGAGGTCACGTTTGCGGCGGTGACGGCGTTTCCAGCTTGTTGTTGGTGTTCCCGGATTTCTGAAGGCCCGAGAACTTTGAAGTCGGCAGCGGCGGTGGCGGCAGCGGGCTTGCAGGTGAAGCCGTTGATGATGGGGGCAGTGGCGCTGGTGTCGCGCACGCAAAAGTCTTGGAGTGCGTCCGGGTCGGCAAGTGAGAATGCAGCAGAGATGGTGACGAGGATCGCGAGGAGAATTGCACGGGAACTAGACATGGAGATGATCTTGTTTTGAAAACTCTCTTCGCTTTGCTTTCTTGGTGATAGAAACCAGGAGATTTAGCAGATCGATGTTGTTCTTTCTTGAGAAGCTCCTTGTTGCTCCTGAGAGATGAAATGTTGCCCTGAAATGTTTGGTGGCTTGGGATGAGATGCTTGGTAGGATCTCAAAGCTATGATCGTTTATATAGTTGCAGAAAAACACTGACTTTGTCAAACTGATGTTTCCGAGGATGACGAAATCCAGTGTGTAGGGAGTTGCAAAACAAAAGGCAATGCGTATATCAAACTATTCCTATGCCTGGTGCCGGCCCACCTTTGTGCAGTTCATCTCCACCATGGTCGGTAGCACCATATTAAAGAAGCATTTTCTTGGATTTTAAAGAAATAAATAAGAAACACAACTTTGATCAAGAACTTTCCTCTGGAAGAGTAAGAGCTGTGGAGGAGGATCGTCAGGAATCAGTGAAGTGTGAAGGGCCCTCTTTTGCAGTGAAGCATGAAAAGCCCAATATACTCACGAGCATTTACTCTGAACGTATTGTTCCTCTTCAGCTAGAAAAAAAAAAGAAAGAAACTATGCGATGAAAACCAAGCATCAATCGCTTCCTCTTTTGAGTCATGTTGAACATGTTGGGTCCTGATTTAGTGCTGACGTGGAGTTATATTTGCTGATGTGGCAAATAACAAATGCGAGAAGCTCTGGCCTCTTTCAGTGATTTCATTAGTGCCGCTCAACGCTGCGCCCGGATCAAACACAAAGCGACTATAAGCCTCAAAAAAGGAGAAAAAGTACTTTTTTTCACCTGAAGAGCATGGCACCGGCAGTGAGAACGAGGCGCAAGCGGAGAGGTTTGCTACAATGGAATGCCAGGGGAGTCATTGGACAAGCAAGATCAGAAAAAGAAGAAGCACGAACGAACGGCGAGTCCAGGAAGCCCAAGCAAGAAGTTTGGTCGCGCCTTCCTGATGACGGACAGAGTTCTCTGGGCGGTTGCAGGCGTTCCACCACTCAAAAGCCATCTAACTCGCAGACGTGGCTACTGTTCCTTGCTCCGTTCCTTGCACGCAGATAACCTCGGATAACAGAGCCTGTATGAATCGAAAGATATCAGTCCTTCCTGTTGCTTATCTTCTTGCATTTTAGAGAACCCAAACCCAAAACCAACAAAACCAAAAGCTCGAGAAGAATCAAGTGATGAAGAAGACTGAAAACTTAACAAAAGCTCGAAGCAAGATAAGAGGAAACAATCGCGAAGAGAGAAGAAAGAAAGAAAAAGAACTAAGATGGCGACAAAGGATGGAAGCTCGCAGCAAGAGATCAAGGCCGCGAGCTTCCAGCCGCGAGTGCAAGGCATGATAGCAGCGAGACCAATCCCTCCGGATGTGGAAGTGATCTACGTCCCGCACAAGATCAAGAGCAATGACTCGGGCTTAAAGAGGCTGCTGAAAATCGGCCGGAGCTTGGTCAGGAACTAGGACGCAGACAGTGTGGAGATTTTTATCGTAGAGAATGTGCCTTTTATACTGGTTTTGTCTACGGCCAATGCGGCAGCATGGTGGAAGCCCGGCGAGTGTTTGCCACTCTTGAGGGGAGGGCCAATATCTATGCGGCAGCTGTAGGGAGGAGGGAGGAGGATGCCCAGCTTGAGCAAGTTATCTCTTAGAACCAAATCTCGATGAGTAAAACTTCACAGAATGATGGGGATTACTTGAAAGTTTGGTGACATAATGACTATGCTCCACATTTTGTGCCCTGGGTTAAATACGAGCAACTCGCTTAAAAGGCCGCCCAGCAGCGGGGAAAGAAGCAGTGGCAGTATGAAGTCCTTACTATCATGCTCGATCAAACCAGTGAGCCAGCCACTAGTCATTGTTGCCTGCATAACAAGTGTAGAGAGAAGTAGCTTGAGTTGTGTTAACTATTTCTTACAATTTTTTGCTATGGAAACAACAAAAAAATCAAGATTGAAAGTAGTAAAACCACGTAGGTAGGCAGCAACAACAAGGTAGTAAAACCACAACTTCCTTTAGCAGGCAGCAACAACAAGAACACATCAACAATCACTCTTCCCAGATCTCACCAAGATCACCCCAATATCACAAGCTTACGGTCTTTGGCCTGGGATTGAGCTGGTTCTTCGACTAGGGCTCCTTCGTGGATCTCATCCTCACGACAATCCTTGGAGATTCGGGCAGTTGGAGATTACGGCTTCGCTGCCATCAAGTACGTGCTCGGGGCCAAGATCACGGCTATGGCGGAAGGGTGGCAGCCCATCGTACGCTGTACGGTGCCTAAGCCGAATGCCAGCTACAGGATAAATATGATCCTGACTGCAGTGTATGCGGGGAGGGGACGAGAACAAAAGCGCTGCTGCCGTGCAACCATCTCATGTGTGAGGAGTGCGCGGTGCAAATATCGACCATCCAGATGAAGTGCCCGATTTGCAGCCAGTGGATCAAGTCGTGTCCGGAAGACATGGGGGAGGCATACAAACCCGTGATGAAGGAAGAGGAGGAGGAGGAGGGGCGAAGGCAAGGAAGAAAAGCCCGTGGGATTATATCTCGTGGAAACCTTGTAATTAAGATTATCCGCATTACTTTGTGGATGGTGAAACTATCTTAAACGAAGTTGGTAGGACCGATATATTGCATGGACCAGATAATTGTATGGAAAACGTGCACCGAATAGAACAAAAAGGAATTCTCTCCCAAGTATATGGCTACGCGTATGGTGCAAAATACGGATCACACGGAAATAAAAAAACGTGGCTGATAGCTCGGATAGTATAAAAGACCCTTCTCCAGCCTCTGTTTCCTCAACCCACAGAGGAGTAGAAAACAAAAGCAGCCATTCTCCAATCAAGTTGATCAGATCGATCAATTTCAACATGGCTGCAATCGTGTTGATGATTGCGTTTCTCGTGATGGCTGCAGCATGGAAGATGGTGTGTATCCGCAAGAGAGAAGAGAGGGCACGATTTCTAGCGTCGCTCCACCCCGTGAGAGACGCACACAAGATCCTGTGGTACATGTACTCGGTGGAATTCCCCTTCCTCTCGCAAAAGGCGCTCGAGTTTGGCACAATCCGCACGCTGGGCATCCCGGGGATCACAAATCTGCTCTTCAAGACCAAGTACGGCCTCAAGGATCCGCAGAAGCGCGCCGCCGAGACCAACATTCTGGTGAGCGAGATGATTCACCACCACGTCGACAGCGATCGCGGCTCGTACGCGGTGAGGAGATTGAATGGAATCCACAACAAATTCAAGATCCCAAACGACCAATTCGCATACGTCCTCTGCCTCAACGTGGTCAGCCCCATTGATTTCTCCGAGAGATTTGGATTCCGCAAGTGGACCGACAGCGAGAAGGAGGCCGCGTATGTTGTGTGGCACGACGTGGGCGTGAGGATGGGCATCACAACCATCCCAGATAGGGGAACTTGACAAT